TGGCATCTAGACGAACTTTTCTATCACGCAATATCTACATTGTATCTACTACGTCGACTTCCCCACACGTCTCCCCATTAATAATGACTAACACGCTTCTGTACTCTTCCTTGACTCGTGTCGTGCTCTGCAGCTCTGTCCTCTTGGCAACTCCGATCATGTAGTGGTTTAGCTATCTCTTTCCGCTCTCCCATTACTTACGAACCTCCTATAAACAGAATATGTTTCTGTTATCAACACGTTGAATCGGTCTTGTTTCGTAGATTTTTTTTTTTTTTGCGATATCCCTTAGAATGAGGTTTTTAAACATCTTGTTCATAAATATGCCGCAGAGGTCTCCTCCACTGCGAACGCCGGCACCGGAGCTTTTGTTACAGTATATAAATACCAAGTGAAACCACAATCATCTCTTTGGTTCTCACCTGCCTACTTACCCACTATAGCCCCCATGAATCACTCCTTCCGGCTATAATAGAGCGATGGCTCTGATTGTAACAGATATATCTGTTTGTTACTGCTCGTGATGAGTGGAAATGTTTTCATTTTCAAATGAATAAATTAGAAATAAATCCCACACTGCGACAATATGATAATCATATTGTCATCTAAAAAATAAAACTTTCTTACCATTTTCTATCACGACTTAGCGAACAGTATATTTAGTAATGAATTCAGTATCAGGCTGTGATTCTTTGGGCATATTTAGCGGGGGAAGTATTGCTAAGTAAATTACTCTCGTGGGAATTTAAGCACAGAAAATGGAAGAGATTAAAACATATGAGAATAGGCTAAGAAAAGATACTGCTTTAGGAGTGAAGAACTAATTATTAGTATAGGTTATCGGCCACACACTGTTTACCGACTATTTTGTGTAAGGAAGAATAACGTGTTTTAGCCTTCCAGTAGTATACCGAGTACTAATATTAGCATTAGCGTAGCTATTGTTACACTAACACTGAATACGAATATAGATAGACGAGATACGCGACTATAACAAACAAAACATTTCATAAGGCAAACAACTTACATACATATATTTAAAAAGATTTACATATGTCCCAAAACAAATGATTGTCCATATTGTCCCAAAGGAACGTGAACGTTTACAGAACAAGATCAAAAAATAACGTACCAACTTTGTGGCCTTTGATAGTCCGCAGATAAGTGAATAGAAATTACTTTTTTTCTTTCGCTAGGCCGTGCATATGTTAACTAGTTTCCGCGTGGGTGGACGCCCTGGTAGTCATGAAGGTAAAGAGGCCTTTCCTCAAAAAGCCGGAAGCAAAAAACTAAAGGGACAGAAGAGTTCTCCTCTCTAAAGGGGCCGAACTCCCATGAGCTCAACCCAAGGGAAAACAACTGTGGTCTTCCTACATAATGAAGATTATAGGAGACAGAAAAGAAAGGAATTATTTGCCCTGCCCGACAAGTGGAATGAACTCAGGCCTTAATATTTGACGCATTATGATTATTCTTTGTTCCTTCTTTGTTGATTAATCGCCGTAAGTGTTAAAGTCTCCAGGCCTGCTTTTCTCAGTATGTTTCCCAGATCTTTCAACTGTTTCTTTCCTATTTGTATGTAGTTGCATTTTATGTTTCCTTAAAATTTCCTTGTTTATCATGAGGAAACAGACATGCGTTCGTGCAAAAGGATGCTGAGAATATTATCGAGGGAGAGTGCAAGCAGCGAAGGAGTTTTAAGAAAAATGCATATAAGTAGGGCCCTTATACATAGAAGCAACAAAAGAGAATTAAAATTTCTGAGAAATATAATAAGTAAATAAGGTTCGAAAAATGTAACACTCATTGACATATCTGTGGCAAAAGAGACAAAGTGAAACAGCAAGTGACCTACTTGATGAGTAGATAGATGACAGAACATGGTCCTGAAGGGATATTAAAAAAACAAAAACAAAACAAAAAACAAGCATTGTTAAGAGATGTCGATATTTCCGAGGGGAACTATTTACATCGTTCGTAATGTTGTTCTCGGCTTTATTGCCATATTCGCGATGTTTCTGCCGTTGTACGCTCCGTCCTTCTTCAGGTGATATAAGTTGGAATTTCGAATTGAACCCTTTATTTAGTCTACGTGGGGGTAGATTGTTCTAATTCCACGTGCCATCCCTTTTTTTGGGGGGTATCTAAGTTTCAGTTAATTCCCTTAAGTAAATCAACTCACCTAGTTTTGTTCCTTTTGCTGTTGTCAGGTATTGAACTTAACACGCTTTGGCTCAAGTCACTATTTGGATTACTCAACCGGTGCTTTTATCTCCAATGGCCATACAAAGACTGTCGTTAAGAGATGTTTTCAAAAATAAATGTTCACTTAATACAAAGCCCGAGCGCCATTCAAGGTAGAATTTACTAAATGAGATTGCTCTATGGACGTATGATGGAGAAGGAGAAAGTAAGTGTCAGTTATCGGATACGTATGATGGATCTTGAGGAGATGTTCGAATGGAATTTTTTTTTTTACCATTGGAATACAAAGTGAATGATAATGGTTCGTCCGTGTGTGTATATGGCATGACTGGTCTGACTGAGGAATGTAGTCCGTCAGACCATTTTCCATGAAAATAGCAATAGAATAAGGAAAAGCATACAAAAGGAATCTTTGGGAGATGCTTTATAGGGTGTAAAATATTTCACTACCTACACAATAGAGTAAACGCATTTGTACTGTGTCGGGACTGGAAAGAAAAGAATGAACAACTCCAGACCAGTTACGGCAGTCATTTTCCAGTTTTGATCGGATTTGTTTCTTGTCAGGATAGAGCATAGCAGCTACTTTCTGGGGAGGTGTAAGGAACCGAGCAATTTTCTAGCGTCTTTAGCTACAAATGATAGGAAGTTGTGGAGCGCCATGAACGGACAAAGAAGAAAACGGAGGAGAAAGGATAATTCAATAATGGAAATATGGAAGGTTAAAATTTCGTTAACTGAAACGTCTGCCAAAATATATGCTCCATCCTAAATAATATATTTTGATGATTTTTTTTTTTGTTTCTATATTTATTTTTTATTTTTATTTTAATTTTTTTTTCTTCCTCCGGTTTCGTTTCGCCAGCTGCGTTTCCATATTGCTATAATGTTTTCATTCGACACGGATGAAGAACTGAATCCGTCCATTTTCGCATATTTTATAAAAGAACATTCTAAATTTCAAAGCCCACGCCGCTGCTAATTATCTCAGCCATGGCTGTAACAATTTAAAAAAAAAAAAAAAAAAGGAAAAAAAATCCCTATAACGTGCGCTGTGTGTTATTTCTAGGTTACTTTTACAACTACGAATCGTTTTAAACTGGCTGCATTTAGATCTGTAACGACTTGGTGACTCATTTGCTTGAATTGCACATTCATCGTGTATCTGTGTCTGCAGATACAAACACATAATTGCATTAGCGCTAAGACGTTATCCATCGCCGCTAATTTTCTTTTTCAATTCTTCTGTGTTTTTAAATAAATTCAGATGTGCATATTAACTGTTTGGTCATAAATATTTGCTTCGTGCTTCTGGATGTAATATCCTGCAATTAAAAAAGGGTTAGTATTTAATATGAAAATAACCAGAAAATATATTTCGAAAGGAAAAAGAAAAAGAAAAAAGCAAATGCCTTCAATATCTTCCTGTACACCAACAGAATGCAAAATAATAATAAAAATACACGAAGAAGTAATAAAACAAAACAAAACAAAATAAAATAAAATCTACTCAATAAACGAACAAAAAATAAAGAATTATTATTATTATTATTATTATTATTGTCAGTGGAAAGTGTCATGATGCCATTTCTAACCTAGAAAGAAATGTGTAAACGCCAGAAATCAAAAAATCTAATAATAATAATAATAATAATAATAATAATAATAAGGACGCGGTTGGGATTACAACGAGAATGACGTGTTTTAAGAAGCTCTTCCAAACGTTACGTTTTTTTTTTACGCATATGAAATTTTGTTATTTTACTATTTTAACGTAAGCATGAATTTTCCTTCGTATTATTATTATTTAATTTATTTGTTTCTCCTTTAAATGATACTGATAGATTAATCAATTATTTAATTTTTCTTATTCATATATCCTCAGTTTTCAATATCCCCCAAAACAAAAACATGACAGGTAAAAAACAATACAATTTCTACGATATTCTTTCTTAGAAGGATTGCGTATTTTTTTGCATTTAGATGGGCCAATAAATTATTCTTAAATTTCACAGCAAAGATAAACGAATGTAAACTTTTATTTTTTTTATGACAATTATTTTTTGTTACTAGGACTAGTGATGGCAAAAAAAAAAAAATTTAATATAAATAAATCTCTAGTGTAGTGATGTTTTGTTTTCGTTGAGCGGCTGTTTCTTCCAAGTTTTTTTTTAACGCATATGAAATTTTGTTATTTTACTATTTTAGTTTTTCTTCGTATTATTATTATTTAATTTATTTGGTTCTCCTTTAAATAATACTGATAGATTAATCAATTATTTAATTTTTTTCATTCACATATCCCTTAGTTTTCAATATCCACCCCATTAAAAAATACAGGTAAAAACAATACAATTTCTACGATGTTCTTTCTTAGAAGGATTGCATTTTTTTTTTTTTTTTTTTTTTTTTTTAAACAACGCTATTTTCAACGACTTTAAAAAATAACGGAATTTACATTTACATATTACATTTTATGAATTTATGAAAAGAAAATGCAATCTTTCAAGAAGAATATCGTGAATTTACAGATGGGCCAATAAATTATTTTTAAATTTCACAGCAAAGACAAACGAATTAAACTTTTTTTTTTTTTTTTTTTTTTTTTTTAAAACAACGCTTTTTCAACGACTTTAAAAAATAACGGAATTTACATTTACATATTACATTTTATGAATTTATGAAAAGAAAATGCGATCTTTCTAAGAAGGAATGTTTTTAAATAAATTATTTTTAAATTTCACAGCAAAGACAAACGAATGTAAATTTTTTTTTTTTTTTTTTTTTTTAACCAGCATTCTCTTTGATTTCCAATCGTGTTTGTCTATTGTTGCTTGGCAAATATCCGAACAACAACCCGCAACTCAAGGTGTTAATCGTGCCGAGGAGGAATGGCTACTGCGTTATGAGGTCGCTTCCCTACAGGCTTCGGAACCCTGTCTGTAAAAGACCGTTACTCAACGTGCCGGGCAACTTTGGGTGGACTTTTGGACCCGTGCGTCACTCGTGGAATATGAAAATTAAAATAGAAACAAAACGTCCAATGGCTCTTCCAGTGGATAAACAGGGAGCCCGTCCTTCAGGAGGGAACCTACCTGAGGTCGAAAAATCTGCCATAGGAACAAACTCCTACACAAAGAATGAATCTTCAGGTCCCCACAACCAGGATAATCCTAATGATGGTCCTGTAAATTCTCCAGCTAGATCCATAACCGTAAAAAGGAAAGAAAAAATAAAATGGTCTCGTGAAAAAGTTGTTATGACTGCATTCCAAAGCGTTACTCAAACCTCAGAAAATCACTCCTATGACATTTGGCGAGAGAAGGTTGGGCAAACAATTAGAAAGTACATAGACAAAAATAAACTAGCCAATAAGAAGGGACATCATAAAAACCGATTGACAGAGGCTGAAATTAATGAAATAAAAAGAAAACAAGAATAGATGAACCAACAAAACATGAAAAGGAACCGCAATCAGGAAAAAAAGTAATAACATCACACAAGCCTCAGGTCATAATGAAAAAAAACCGAAATACACACAAATCACTGTGAAGATAATGCTGAAAATTTAGAAATGTTGGAAAGGTATGATCTTAGTCAAAAAAGACGGTAATAAAACGAGTTCAAAATTCATCGAACAGAATTATTTCAAGAAAACAAGATTAATATACAAGAAGCCAAGGATGAAATCATGAGCCATATAAGTCAGATACAGAATATTGCAATGGAGGAACGAGAACAACTCCCAAAATTACAACCAACAAAGCATAACCTCAAAACTATTAAGCTTAATGCAGCACTCAAATTGATTCTGGATGAAGAAGACACTCATATAAATCTCAATGAAGCAATATATGCATCAGCAATAGCATTAAACTGAACATCAAAGTAAAAAAAAGGCAGTCTCACAGACATGAAGCTCCACCTTGGAAAAGAAAAAAAATAGAAAAAAATTGAACACCTTAGAAGTGAATTATCAGTACTCGATGAACTAGCAAGAGGAGTAATGTAAGAACTAGAAAAGGCAGAAGAGTCGAAAGAAAATACAATATCAGGAATGAAAATGAAGTCCTATCAACTAAAGAAAAAATAAAGCAAACAATACAACTGAAGGCTCAAAGAATAAGACGCTACGAGAAAAGATCAAGATTCTATAGACAGAACAAGATCTTTCAAACCGATGCAAAGAAATTTTACAGGGAAATAGGTAAACAAAGAATTGAAGTGACAGTCCCCCCTAAAATGGAAGAAGTTATACAGTTCTGGGGAAAAATATGGGCTTGCCCTAAAGAACACAACGAAGAGGCAGATTGGATTGCGCAAGAGTTAGAACGAATGAAAAATAAACCAGAACAGACATGGGCGGAATCACAGAAGAAGATGTTAAATGTGCACTGAAAAAAGCACACAACTGGAAATCTCCAGGAATAGATAAAATTCTAACTTTTTATTTAAATACAGCACACAAAAAACTCGCCAAAGAACTTCAAGAAATGGTTACCGATCCAACTAAAATTCCTGCATGGATGACCAAAGGAGTTACCTTTCTTCTACCTAGTGACACAAATATTCCGAAAACTATAGACCAATTACATGTCTTCCAACAACATACAAACTGTTAACATCTATTTTAACAAAACAGACATATTTCTTCTTGGAAAGAAATGACATACTACCACTTGAACAAAAAAGGGTGCAAACGAGGCTGCTACGGATGTAAAGACCAATTAATTAATAATGATCCTGGAAAACTGCTTCCGTGGAAAAAAAAAATTTAATTGCCTGGATAGATTATCGTAAAGCATTCGATAGTACCACATTCCTGGATCTTAAAGTCTTTAAGTATGTATATCACCCGTTATCATCAATTTCATCAAACAATGTATGTCGATAAAAACTACAACCTCAATCATAAAAATGGAACCTAAAGTCTGGCGAAATAAACATCAATAGAGGAATATTTCAAAAGTATTATTTTGCATATCACTTATAGCATTAACCAGCCAACTTAACAAGACAGAATGCGGTTACAAAATAGCTCAAAAGAAAATAAACCATCTATTTTACATGGATGACTTAAATTGTATGCTAGGAATGACAATGAGCTGGAAGGTCTTCTGCAAACTGTAAAATGCTTCAAAGACATTGGAATGAAATTCAATTTGATAAATGTGCTAAAGCTACAGTTTTACGAGGATTGCTACAACAAACTTCCTCTATTAGTTTAGACCCTGCTGTAACAATAAAAGATTTAGAACAAGGAGAAGCCCTAGGTGTAAATGAGTTCACCATAAGAAAATGAAAGAAATAGTGCGTAAAAGAGTACTATAGAAGGGTCGACTGGTATTAAAAACTGAATTGAATTCTCAGAACAGAATTAAAAACCTTGCCATCCCAGTGGTCCAATATAGTTTCAACATCTTTGAACTGGACTCTAAATGACATCAGACAAATGGATTCTAAAACAAGAAAGCTTCTTTCTAAGTATAAGATGCATCATCCAAAGGCTGATGTAGACTGTCT